AGCCTCTAGTGGCTGGGTAGTCACTGCATGTCTTTCTGTCCTCATTGGAAGTGATGAACCCTTCGTCTGTAATGGTGGTGAAGACAACAACATCTTGTCCTATTTGAACTCAACTCGTTGTGTTCTTTGGTAAAGCACACAGTGTGATATGAAACATGCAGTCACATTAGCGGACGTTTAAATCTTGAGAGCATACCTTGTAAAACTTCAGAAAAGTTCATACGAAACTCCTTAGCTCTGGCTGCATGCAGAGAGAACAAACGGAGAGAAAAGAGGGAAGAAGAGGACAGAGGCCATAAGAGATTATAACATCGCAGTGTGAATCTGCAGTTCTGTCTGCAGTGAAAGAGGACTAAATTAGTACAAAGACACAGAATTACAGAAGAGACACAAAGCTGCATGATGAGTCAATGTCACACATTAGATTTAGACCTCAGCTGCTTCACAGTAAACGCCACTTCATCAAAATCTTCTCTCCAAACTCATAACAAAAGGTTACGAGTGGGTTGCAGCACATGTAAATTGGTTTGTGACGAGTTCTGGGGCCGCAAAGAAAATATCAGATATAAAAAGTTCTGAACAACAACAGATATGGTTTCAATTACAACTGTAAATACCCGACCGTGATGCCTGATATCTGCAGGATTCCTGCCCTTACAGGGGATCATTTGGGTGTTTCTTAAATACTAGAACAAGAGAACATTTCAGTGGTCTGTGTGCAGTTTTGTACGACACATTTTCATGCAGCAGGGCTGACGTCACATACAGAGCAGAGAGAAGAAGTTTCACAACACCGCTATCCTTACTGTAACCTGGTTGAACAGGGAACTCTATATATAAACTGAGGCTATAAAGCTGACACAGTGCTCCTTCCCCTCATACTGTATTCAACCTTCAATGGGAACTCGTAGCTCAGTAACTCTTATCTCTCGTTTCCATCGTGACAGATGTGTGACAGATGCAGCCATAAAGTCTCCAACCTTATTGGTCAAATGGGAGATGAAGTTTGAGATAAGATAAATGTGATGTCTTCCCGTCTGCCTGTCTGTCTGAGAGAAAGAGGTTGTGAAAGCCGTTTCACGACTGTCATAACCACATGTTCCGATATGAAAACCACAATTTCTTTTGCAACTTTCAGTGTCTGTGTGTGAGAGACAAGCTGCACTGCTGCAAACCAGAAACTATGCCAGCAAATGTGTGTTTCATTATGTGTTTGATGCTCCAGCTGAAACATGAAACTCATGCACAACTGTTTGTAAGACTAGAAATCAACACAGATTAACATCCAATATGTCTTTATTCAGAGTAACTTTACACTTGTTGTTCTAAATATTAGTGGATCTCGTGGTTTTCTCTGACAGCAGCAGTTTCATTCTCAAGGAAATGATTAAAAGATGTAAAATTACCTCACAGCAAATCTATAAAAATACAGCAGAGAGATGAATATAAGGGGCGTGGCTACGAGGCTGCGTAGTGTGTGACACTAGAAGCACATTCACGCAGTTTCTCTGCCCTACCTGGGTCGTAACGAACCAGATTCTGCACAAACACTGAAACCTCGGACAACCCAGAACCACGATCAAACTCCTGTTGCTTACCGATGACACTGTCGTAGTCCACGATGTCGAAGTAGACCACGGCCACAGAGCTCCAGACTCCCAGCAGAGCCAGGACCACAAACCAGGTGAACATGGAGTACTTAGAACCTCCTCCTGCATCTCCTCCACCTCCTCCTCCACCTCCTCCTCCTCCTCCTCTCTCCGTCCTCTTTCCATTCTTGCTTTCCACCGGCGGCGTCTTCCCCTCTGAAAACATGAAAATCCTGGTTAATATTACCTCAGTTTAGAGCAACGGTTGTCCTGTTTGTGTGGTATGAACCCAACAGACAACAGCACATTGTTAGAGACACAGAGGTGTGTGTGTGTGTGTGTGTGTGTGTGTGTTTGTGCTTGTGTATGTGTGAGTGGGAGAGGTAAAGAGAAAGACACCCAAAGGTGTATAAAGCGCATGCATCCATTCACTGTCATGATCAGCAGCTATTATCAACAGCCTGAGCTGGTTGCCAATCATACTGAATTATTCTGCAGTGAATCGACTCGCAGGCAGTTGACCAATGACTGTTACCTTTGCGCAGAAACAAACACTAACTCTGCTCTATTTCATTTCCTACCCTTTCTGTCACTCCTTTCATTGATTGGCTCCTGTGCTTTCAACTAGAACCTCTCTTTTAGCAGTCCCACCCTCCTTTATTTCTACTGCTGTCTTTCCTTGCTGTTCCCCCTTTTGTCCACAGCACCCAGCTCGTCCTCCTTTTTTGTGCTTGTAGCTGAGCAGTGATGAAATCTGGGGTCCCTGTGGCAACAGGCGCTTTTAGTGCATGTATGTATGTGTGTGTGTGTGTGTGTGTGTGTGTGTGTCAGCGTGTGACCTGGTGGTTGTTGAGGGGGGGGGGGGGGGGGGGCAGAGGGGGAGGGGGGAGAGGGGAGAGGAGGAGGAGGAGGGGGGGTGTGTGTGTGTGTGTGTGTGTGCAGTTTTCAGGGCAGGGGAGTGCAAGCAGCAGTCTGATCCATACTAATGTTCATTGATAGGAAAATCAATGGTGCATTGATCCAAGACTTGGCTCTGAGAGAGGGAGTGGGGTGGTGAGGGGCACTGGTGGAAGAGCAATGGAAAGAGGAAGAGATGGAGAAAGAACAGCAGAGGAAGGAAAGGATTAGGCAGATAAGAATGAGTAAAGAGAAAAAAACAGGGAAAGAAAGAAGTTCAAACCACTGCAGGCCTCTGTGAGTCTGTGGATGACAGAGATGAGGCTTCAGCCCCGGTGGCTGCTGTTGGGGGTGGGTAACTATATGTGTGAACAACCTGTCGTGGCCTAACTATTCTCTTTTCTCTCTCTGTCTCGCAGAACTGCTCTTGAGAGTGGATGAACAAGCCTCAAATGGAACCTGAGAAGAGGAAAAAAAAGAGGAGAAACAGGAGAGGAGAGGAGAGGAGGAGGAGGGGAGGGAGAAAATCAATTTTCCCAGACAGAGGCAGGCTGGTCTAATGGAGGTCTAAAAGAAGAGGAGGAGGAGAGGACATATTTTCCTCTGATTACCTCCTGTATAGCCTCCCTGGCAAACCTTGAAAGCTAGCATTGCTACAGCGGCCTCGCTCATCCGACCTTTTTTCGCAGAAGGTATGGAGTCTAGTTGCTTATTTCACTAAGCAGTCAGGCTTTGAGGTAGAGGACGCACACACTGCAGCTAAAAACATCCCAACATGCAAAATGACAAGGAAGTCAATCAAACTGAAAGTAGATCATGTCTTCATGAGCAGAAATGCACATTTTTCTCTTTACTCTGAATTCTCAACAATAGAACATTTTGAAGCCACATCTAAGTTAATTTCTCCTCCTTTTTCAATCTCTAAACTGCCCTTTGTAGAAGTTATGTAACCCCTATATTTCGGACGGAGAAAACTGGAACTGGATTAAAGGGATAAAGGTTTCCATTTGGCTGAGATGAATCATTTATAAAGTATAAAGGAAGGAAATTTGTCATTAGTGTCTCTGCCAAATGAAGGGAGATATCTAGAGTACCCCTTTGCTTGTGATTCTCCGCTACAGCGGCCTCTCTGAAGTCATATGACCAGGTCGCTATGTTCAATTTCCTGCTACAGGCTTGATTATTATAAATTGGTAAGTGAAGTGGACATTCAGTGCAATGCAGAAAAAGCAGGCAGTGATTTGTTCCAGTTCTAGCTGAGTGAATTTTAAATCTTGTTTATGGCTCTCCTCATAAAGTAAAATGAATGTGCGATGGTAGAAAATTTGCTGGAGAATTACCAAACTGATGCCTGGAAAATGGGAGCAATAAATCGAAGAATTTTTGATGTAAAACTTTGTATAAACCGATGAAGCAACATTTGTCCCAGTTAGAGCACGTGTGACAGCTTCGCTTTTTAAATAAATGATTGTGAGTTCAAATCTGTTGCCTCATGTTGCCACAAGCCATGTGAAGTTAAGAGTCTAAAAGGCTGTGACCTGCAGTAGAACCAGAAAAGAGAAAAAAAAAGGGACCAAAACAGGGACAGATGTTCAAAATGCTCCAAAACCACAAAACCACAACACCGCTCCAACAGCCACTGTGTGTCTACTTCTGTAGCTTTGTGATGTGCTCATTAAACCTGTGAATGTTCAACCAGCTATTAAACGTTTCAATGAACTTTTCTTTGCTTACTGTACAAATATAGTGTTTCTTTCCCAGGGAAAGGAAAGGAGGGTTTGAAAAGCTATTAAATGTAGCTGAAGGAGAGCTTGTAACACACTGTCTGTCTGTCTGTTACTGTTTTTCTGTCACTCCCTCCCTGTCTCGTTGGCTCTTTGTGTTTTTCTGCCTCTCGGCCTGTCTCTCTCGGCCTGTGAGGTGAAAGTGGCTTCCATGGTAACGGCACACTCTGTTTATGCCACGACGTCTCACTTCATCACAAGCTGTTGATGGCTTTGATTTGCATGCGTGCTTATGTGTGTGTGAGCAAGTGTGTGCGCGTGTTTGTGCCCCCCCCCCCATTTCTGCAAAACAGAATACTCCCTAAAACACACTCACATACGCATCATACAGGTGTTTGTGAGACTAATATGGCAGCTTAAAACTATAATCCACACATTCCTCCATAAAATAAAGAGAAGTTTTGTGAAAAAGCTAGCTTCTCTGATGTTTCTTCTTTAGTCGTCTTTAAAGTCACATTTGTCTTTATAGGATCGAGCTCAATATCAGGATATGACCTTTTTTTGCCATCTCAATCACCGGTTTTTAAGTCCACTTAAATGAAAAAAATATAAGTAAATAACTCTCTTGAGACACTACAAAAACACCAACATGTGCATTTATCTTGTGCAAACTGCCATATGGAGTTTAACTTTAACAAAACCATAGAAAGGAAATTGGCACTTTAGCTGTAAAGATAAAAAAATGTAAATTTAATCATACTCATTTCCTCATTCTGCGAGCTGATCCCGTACACTTAACCACTTAAATTAGCAGCAGAAACAATGATTATGACTTCTTTTCACCAAAACCAGTCGCCCCCAATTAGAGAAAGTGGAAGGTAGGGGATATGAGAGGGGGTGAGAGCAGAGGAGGGAGTGAGGGCCTGGCTAGCCGGACCCCCTGCAGGGCAGAAAGGGGGGAAAAATGGATTCCATACCAGGAAATCCATTAGGGCAGGGAGCGGCATGGAGCTGGCAGCACAGAGCGGCCGCCGTGTTTTTAAAAAATTCCTCATTAGGTGTAATTTCTAAATTACAATCAGCATGGGCAGAATGAAAAAGCGAGGATCTGACCAACTCATCAGGATAATCAGGGTAATAGCATGATTCGGCGTGTGTGTTGGAGCAGAGAGAGACAGAGATGAAAACTATAGAGGGCAGAGGAGGATGGAGGGTGAATTTTAATTCTGCTGCTGCTGGACACTGACTTTAGGATGTTTTTCTGCCTTTTTCTGTATTATTTTTTTCAACTAAGTGATCTAGGTAATTGCTGTGGTTGGGTTTGGATAGTTAAAGCAACAAGCTAATGCACAGCAGGAGTGTATAATGTCAATATCTCTCTTCTCTTGCTATCGACTCCCACTCCACCCCCTGAATAAGACAGACCCGGAAAAATTGGTGAAAGTGAAGCGAAACAGTGGAAAAGGAGGAAGACGAGGGACCGAAAAAAGAGGGTGGAGAGCGAGAGAGGAGAAAGAGAGTAGGGGCCTCCGTAAGGAGAGGGAGAGAGGAGGGGAAACGGCAGGAGGGGAGGAGGGGAGGGAAGGAGGGAGGGAGGGAGGGAGGAGAAGAGGTTAATTTGCACATATTAGAGAGGGCAGGATTTTTCATTAAAAAGAGATTGAAGTTGATATATGCCTGTGCGCTCCTGACACACTGTACACTCTGATTGTGTTAAGTCCTTGACAGAACAAAGGATTTCCCCTCTCTCTCTCTTTCTCTCTCTCTCCCCCATCTATCTCTAACAGCCATTGCAGCCCGGCTACAGCTCTGGCAGCATTTCTGTGGCTTTATGGAGCTGTTTCATGGTGAATAGAAGCTCAGACAGAGTGTCATATCACCTCAGGAGCCCCCCCTCAATGCATATGCATACACTTACTTTCTTTCCTATGTAAATCCATGTGCATGCAGGGGAGAAAATGGCTTTTATGCATGCACGCAACCGTTCGATTTACTCCTATGTGTGTGTGCATTGGACCAAGTGGTCAAAGGCTTCAGCCTAGCTTTTGGGTTATCCTTCCTGGTTGCAAACAGGAAGCACAAGAAAGCCAACGCCTTTTGATATTCATTTCTATTCCCCGTGACTGAGTGAGGCATTTAATAAAGAGCTGTGTTCACCACAGTTACTCGTTGTTGGTTGTTGGCTGTTGGTACTTTTTGGAGACTTCCAGTCCATTGTTCAAGGCCGACATTCACTCAGGTAAACTGATCTGGTGTCTGCCTGCGGCCTGAGGCGAAGCAGAAACAACAGAAGCAATAATAACAACACTTATTTATGATCTGTTGTTCAGGACACACGCAACTGGTATAAATCTCTCCCTTCTTTCCTTTTTACCCCCTCCCTTTCTTTTATCTTGTTTTCCTCCGGCCACATCTGTCATTCCACGCTGGAGGGTTATACCTGATCTTTGACCTTAGTTAGCGCAGCCCTTGAGACCTGATTCACTCACACACACACACACATACACACACATACAAGGCTGTACACACAGCATAGGAGATATTGATTGGTGATAGATAGATAGAGCAGGGCGGGCCTGATAAGGAGGCCATATTTGATGTTTGTTCTGGCAGTAGAGAGAGAGGCAGAGAGAGATTAAATCACAATGAGCAGCCTGCTCCGTCCTTGGCTTCGTCCCCACTTGAGGCTTTACAGGAGTTTAGGGGTCGAGCTTAAAGGATGACGGGTGAGGGATTGTGGACAAGGGGCGCCCGGTCTGCTTAAATCCACTGTGGTAAGAGCCATTGATTAACATGCACTGCAATGTTATTCAAGGGTGTGTTTTTGTGCAATCCAAGGTTTTCAACATTTCAAGCTTTTAGATGCACAACAACAACTGCTTCTATTCTAAAGACAGATCTTTGTTTTGCCTCCCTTGTCCTCCATGTACAATGTAGTGGACTGATTGACAGGCATCAATACATGTCTGTAGGCTCACAATGGACACGCACACACACGCACACACATAGAGAGCTCATTCAACCACGCTGCTCTGCATATCCTTCTGTTCAAGAATTTGTGTTTACCCCCTCTCTGTCTGCAAATACTCCTGGAAAAATAGTCCCAGGTACTCTTTGGTTACATGATCATGAAATTTGTAGCCAGTGCATTTTCTTTTTTTGCATGTGACCTATTTAGCATTTATAAGCGGTATATAACATGTAATAAACGCTTTATAACACATGATACTGTAACATTTATTAATGCTTTTGTTGACAACTCCTCCTAAGACTGGTGTATGAATGATAATAGAGTAAAACACAGTTCTAATAAAATCAAAATATGTCTTCAAGTTTTAACTGCTGACAAATACTGTACATTAATAAACACTTAAAATGTTATTATATCTACATTATTACGGCAACATTTATTAAATGTCTTTAAATACTAAATGGGGGAAGCTTTGTACAGTTGAGTAAACTCATTTAAGATATTTTACATCTGCAAGTATTTTATGCAGGAATCTTCTTTTCTTCAATATATTAGATTTCCAAAATATCATGGACCACTTTCAGGTAAATCCTCTCACATGCTTTTATCATGTCACCATAAAACAACCTTTGCATCCTGCAGAGCCTCACCTGAGCTCGAAGCATCACGTCCCTGAGGCCTGAGGCGATGACAGCTCCCAACAGTGAGACAGTCGTCAGTCATACAGCAGGATGAAGGGGTTGGTGTGATGACAGCGACGGCTCTCCGGCCTCGGTGCCATTCCTCTGGCCGCTCGCGACCACACACATCTCCTAAAAGGATGAAACAGGGAGCACTGATGATGTGGTTTTCAGTCCTGCTCAGGGTTGAAGGCACAAGCAGGTTTCTCTTTCCTTTAATCTGATAATTGGTTGGTGGACTAAAAAAGGTCAAGCACACGAAAGAGCTAGAAAGTCTGGAGACACAGGAAATCTGGTACCATGGTTGAAGGGCTATTTGGATTCAAGTACAAGTAAACCTCTTATAAGATACAGGAATAGAACAAGGAGGAGCGCGGAGTGATTTAGTTAAAAGACCACATAATCCAGTGATTGTCTTTTTCTCACCATCTCAGACAATAACAACATAGTAGATAAATCAGATGCATTATTATGTTGTCTTAAACCTGATATGTGATCAGTTAAAAAAAAAGAGTCAATCACTCGACTGTCAAATGAACAAAATGTTGTTTAGACTAAATATTATTATCATGTTATAGTTTGATTGCAATTCTAATTCATAAAATACACCTCCATCTCCAGGAAATACTTCATGTCCCACTGTCCGTTTTAGATTTGGAAGTATTTGGTGGATTTTTCTTCAAAAATATGCTTTGACTTTAAAGAAATATTGCTGGACTTCTGGGTAAAAACACTTCTCAAATCTACAAAACTCATATTTTGTAGCAGATAATTGTTGTGTCTTTAGGTTTCTCAGCACATTGCAGCAAACCAATTTTCCAAACTCTGCTGTATTGTATTTTCAGGCAATGTCTGCTTCTTGTCTTCCAGGCTGCTTTTAGTTCACATTAATTTCAGTGTGACATGAAAATGATCTTGCAAAATAAAGAAATGTATGTGCTTTTGTTGTTTCCGAAGATACACAAGGCTGGATTACCAATCTGTCAAAACAGACGACTGCCCCAGTGCACCAAGTTCACAGTGTGTCAAATGAGTTTATGGTAATTTGATTAACGGACAATTTGTTAGAGAGTTTGTCACACTACGGTACCGTATACACTAAGGCAGGTCCTGCAATATTACCTAATCTTGTGTAGCACTATAAATCTTATAGAGGGATGCTGTGTCAGAATCTACTTCTAACACCTTTCTCCTTTGAGTTTATATTGTGCTCACATGGTGCAGATTCCTAAATAAAGTAGCATTTAATCAAATTACCTTAAACTAATTGACACAGAAAACCCCGAAGCCAGTTAGTATTATTCCATTAGCATTGGAGTACAGCTTAGTTTCTGGGTGTCTCAGCTACTGTTTGCTCTGTACTTAACAGGAACTTGGAGCTGTCAGCATGCATACACAGGACCCTCTAACAGGTTATTCCAGCCATAGAGATACATTTAATACATTCCTGACTCTACATTATTTATTTCACTGAAGGTAAACACTGTAGATCACTCATTCTTTAAGCTTCCACAAGTCCATTTTGCATTTTGATGTCCTTGTTGCTGTCAACATAAACATAAACTGATGCTTGAATGACACACACTGGACTTCTGGAGCAAAAACATCATCTGAAACTGGAACGTGGACATTAAGCAATAAGGCTGGAGACACGTTTGTTTGTTTTTTCCTGTAACAGCACAACCTTTAGTTTGTTTTAGTAAAGATGGGGCTAATTTCAACTTCCGTAGGGGATCTTATTTCATAATAATATAACATCATTTAGTACATGATTTATATATTTTATTAATAATCTGAATCTACAAAATAACTAGTAGTTAATGCTGTCAAATAAATGCAGTAAAAAGTACAATGTTGGCTTCCACAGTGTAGTGAAGCAGAGGTTTTTTGTGTGAGTTTATTTAAACAAAAGAGATACAATGACAACCTCACTTTGTACCATCAAAAACAACATTTATAACTCCTATTGTAATATTAAAATAATCAAATAATATATATTTTTAATTATAAAATACCTCCAAATTACTCAAACACAGTACAGAATAACAAAATCATAGAAAAATACATAATTATGAGCCTAAATATCCACAAATATTTTATAAATCTACAGTTTTATTCTTTAAAGTGTCCTTCCCTTTCCGGTGCTACCCCGTTTTCCCTCCGACCTTTTACAGGAACCTTCCTCTTTGTTCCGGCCTCAGTGGAGCGAACATGGCGGCGGAGGGAGACGTCGATTTGGACCTGGAAGCAGAAGAAAACTGCACTGGAAAACCGGCAGAAAAGCCTCGGAAACATGACAGCGGAGCCGCTGACTTGGAGAGAGTCACGGACTACGCGGAGGAGAAGGAAATCTCCAGCTCTGACTTAGAAACGGTGAGAGCTCCGGGCTAAATGCTAACGCAGGAAACATGCGGCCACTTCTGGTTCCACCGTCGGTTCATCATCACCGAACATCAAACCATCAAACCATCAAACCCTGTGAATGTGTGGCTGTTACACTGCAAATACAGTTTATAGGTAGTTAAAGACTAGTTACCCTGCTGCATGTATATAGTTTAGAGGTAGTTAAAGACCGTTTGATTGGTAATTGTGCGGTTGGAAGATTAAACTCAGAAGCTAAAGCTGTTTTCTACAACAGAGTATTAAAGCCATAATAAGAGAAAACAATATTATTTCTGGGCGAAATTACGAGATTAAAGTCGTAATATTACGAGAATAAAGTCGTAATATTACGAGATTAAAGTGGTAATATTACGAG